CTGTTTGCGTTATGAGTAATTGTGAAAGTACACTTATGTTTTGATCTTGCAAGGAACTTGATACTGGTTTCAACGGAGTCTACTAGCAGTGCATAAAGCCACTGCAGGATTGGTGCCTTATACTCTGCTAAGATTATACTTATTTGCCCTTCCTACCTTTAGTAGATAGCTATAGCCTGGTTTCCTGAAATATTAGGTATAGCCATTTACAAAAAGACTCCTTACTTAAAATGTTCTTTAATTGTCTAAAAACCTTTGTATTTAGAATGTCTTTTTTATTACAAGTCACCCTGCAATATGATGTCAGGATGGCAGTAATTATGTATTTTATCACTATCAGAAGGCGAGTCTTAAAGTAATACTGTTTGAAAAAAATATATTCAGTTAGAATATTCAGAATACATACATTTTCTATAAATCACAATTTTAATGTCCTTAACAATATATGAAAATGATATAAAACATTTTTAATCATGGTAGAAACATACCTCATCTTTAGAGACAAAATAGATGCAGAAGTATGTGAAAAAAAATGAAGAGGAAAAAGCCTACAAGAGATTCAGTGTTTTAAAACAAACATATTTGATTTTTTAAGATCAGAAGTAAACCAGAAGTTTAGTTACTTTACAATTAGTGCCTAGAGACTAAATTGCAGTTGTTACCATTTCCTTTTTGTCAATCAGGTTCTACCAGTTTTAACAGAGCTGCCGACACTTTGAATACCTCTAGTATCCACCGAGACCCCCAGGGAGACCCTAGTGAAGAATGGAATGCTATAGCAAAGACTTTTTATGATTCTCCTTTTCCCACAGAACATGTAAGTCAATTAAAAATATTGCGCACCAGACCTCAGTGAGCTAATTCCACAGATATTTGTACAACTGTACACATCTGGATACTTTAAGACTGAGTCAATCTCCAAAATAATATCAAAAGGGCAACACGGCACCATTTTTCACAATTAAGGTTGATAGAAAGCAGCAGGAAAAAGTCACAGCATATGAATCAAACAGATGCTAACCAGTCTGTTTGGGAGGGGAGGAAGAGGGTAGTTCATTGTGTACCCTAATAAAGATCATCACCTACAGTAAAAGTAGGAGCTAAAAAAAAAAAGGAAAGAAAAAAACGTCTATATAAAAGTATAAAAACATTGTTTCCTTTATTACTTCATAGGAACATGTTACTTAAAAGAATCTGTGAAAGACTAAAAATTCAGCATATCTATGACTTAGAGCCTATCCGTTTATTCTATGCTGCAGTTATGTGATGCCATATTTAGAGTTATCTTATTTAGTAGGATGACATTACACAAACATGTGTAAAAGCAGAGAATTAAAAAGAAACTTATTGTTTCCCTGTAAAACAATTTCATTCAGGATGGCACTAGCAGTGGCTCATACTGCATTTTTAGATCTATGTTAGACGGTGAAGCTTCAACAGCTATAACTGCTGTATTAGGATTTGACCTAATGCTAAACATATCATTCAAAAGTGATACAATAATTTACAACTGCAGTTGACCTTCCTTTTTAGAAGAGGTTCTAGAGGTATTTCTCAGGTAGTTATGGCTGTCTGAGGTTTGAGGTCAGAGTGTGTAGTGTTTTCAAGTGACAAAATTGGCTGACTTCAGTGGATTTAATCAGCTCTCAATACCATTAGCATTCACATTCTCTAAAATTCAGAAGTAGACTGATGTTTTAAATTACTGAACTTTCCTAACACGACTCTACTTGTGAATGACAGCGAGGTGGATTTTTCACCAAACAGTGGTGGTATTTACTGTGTCTTTCTTGCTTTTTCTCACTGAGGTGGAGCCAGGAATTGAGCGAACTAAAATACCTAATCTGCAGCTAATACAAAGCTGTATTTCATTATCTGATTGTGGTTATATCTACTTTGTCACCTCCAAACTAAAGCTCCTTATGTGCTGGCTAAGTGAAAGCTGAGATGGACAAGAACAAAGTACCTTGTTGGTTTGACTTTAGATTATTTTCCAAATACTAATCTACGAAGTCTCAGCCTGGGATATTGCAGACCACTCCCTCCCTTCTGTGTTGGTGTCATTCTAATACCTTCTGTCCTCAAATTCGTCACTTTTATGACGGATACGAAAAGCTGTTGGGAGATTAAAAATAGGCTGAGCAGTCTTTTTTGCTGCTCAGTTTATTTGTTTTGACTAACACGTATGATAACTAGAGCAGACATGCCTTCTACAATTTCGTTAATCATCTCATTCAACCACAGTACAGTACTCTAAAAAGTGTTAAAAATTAGGAAGCAATGCTACAGATGCACTTAAAATTCTAGTAAAAATATGAAGAACTGTTTTAAACATTAGTCTGTACATGCCTGAGTACCAAGGTAAGGATGAATAAGCATCCTCAGCTCAGTTTAAACACAAGTCCCTAACTAACTGTGCAGTCATACTATTCAGCAATGAATGGTTTTTACACGTGTCCCATAGGTTGCCATATTACTCAGTGCTGGCAGAAAGACATGTTTTACTTGTATTTTATTGTGAAAATGCTGAGGCCTTTTAGTTTGACAGCTTGGCTTATTTTTTTAAAGCTTTATTCTAAACCCGCTGTCACAGAACTGTATTAAAATGCTATATATATTATCTAACTGCAATTACGTCTCCAAAGAGGTCTAAACACTTGCGGTCTTCAGTAAAATCCAAGTAACATGGCATGGCTTTATTTCACTGGAAAATTTCACTTCCGCATGTGGAAGACCTAAATGAAAGTTCTTCTCTTGGATTATTAGTACAGGACAGATGCAGCCCCATGTGCTATTCCATAGAGATTTTGACTAGTGGCTTGCAATGAAGTATGATCTGTTTCTTTCTGAGGCCTTGGGAAAGAACATGGGAGAGTGTATGTATACAGCCACTAGAATTAACAGGTTGAACATTTTATTGCTCAGATGAAGAAGTTACTTCCTCACTGAAATGGAGATTACAGTAATTATTGACCTGAGTATCAGTATCTTCAGCTGCATGGCAGTAATTTTGTTACAGATGCAATAGGCTAAGTGAACAATTTGCATGAAGTTTATTGTTCATGTTTCAAACTTCAAGAAATGCTTGTGCACTGGGGAAGGAAAGTTTTAGCACAAAATTCATGTGCTAAAATGAAGGCAGGCCTGATAAAGACTTTGTGGCTTACAGCTGGTTGGGGCGCAGTTGCCTAATACTAAAAAATAACTGAGCAGAGAGGGAAGGCCTCATCTTGTGATTCCTGTAAGAGAATTACCCTCACATGCCACCGAAGTATTAGATGTGACGTTACAGATCCCCAAGAACCACTGCAATGCTGGTTCTGCATAACATGGCTTTGTTGTGCACCTCTGCTCAGGCAGGTGGCTGGTGCTGCATGCTGGCCTCCCCGAGAGCCAGCAACGTTGGATTACAAGTAGAGAATTCATTATTCCAGCAAAAAACTGTTTCCCTACTGTGTTGCCATATGTGTTTTGATTTGGATATGTATGACGTTCTGTCAAATAGTAATTAAAACTGTTCGAAGAACAAAAAGATCTTCCTTTAACATAAAAACCCAACCTATTACAGACCTTGCATTAGTTAATGATGTTTGCTTTCTAATCTGTACAGCGAAGCAGAGAGGGAGTTAACACTATAAACCTCATGATTTTGGGTTTTGTTAATCAAATGCTTGCATAGAAATAGAAATGTCAATTGCAACATTAAACTGTTTAATTAAACTATTTATTTTGCTAATCTGCATTCTAGTACAAGGTTGTCTTTTGCACTAAGTCTTACGTTAAGGTTTGGTTTATAAAAGTATATTTGTCATTATCAAGTCTTCTAAATTAAAGCTGAAGCAAGCACTTCAAATTAAACGTATTTTTTCCAATTATCTTTCTGTTCACATTTCCTTGCTTAATGTTCAGCAAAATCCAACAATTTGAACCTTTGTACCTGAATTTCACTGGATTATTAACTGCAAAGTTTGTATTCTGTCAGATAAAAGGATTTACTGCTTTACAGCACAAGCAGTCTTCTCACATGACTGTAACTCCAGCAAGAAGTGAAAGTGCACTCAGAGATGAGGACAGCTCTATTCATAACTCCATTATACAAAACCAAATAGAAGAAATTGAGAAATTCCTGAATTTGGAGAGACTTCATTCAGCAAGAAAAAGAAAACATGAAGAATGCCAATGAAGATCAGTGGCAGGAGATAAAAAGCATGTCTTTTAGGCACAGATAAATCACTTTGTAAACCAGATTTGCAGAGGTATTCCTATAGAATATGGTATATATGCACTGTGCTTTCATGTTTAACAGAGCATATAGACCTTTTATGATGTTCAAAAATTGATACAATCCCTACTAATAACGTTAGTTCTCTGTTTCTGCAATCAAATCCAAGTTGTTATGGGTTTTGCCCGAAGTTAAAAAGTTCACAAGTTAATGTTTTAATATCCAAATGAAATGATTACTTAAGAATACCCTTCTCCTGCTCCTGAGAAGTTTTGGTTGAAATACTTAAATTTGGTTTCTCTGTCAGACTGCTCACGCAGTTTTCAAGCAAAATCAGCTGCTACTGTTTCAAAATACAATGGTTTCTACAAACATTTACAACAACTTACAGCAGTTCTAAGTGGCAGAACAGGAAAATCTTCTGCTTACCTTTACTGCCAAATTATTTAAATACATCTATTGTAGTTGATTCTGTATCAATAAGGTCTCTTTCAACACTAAAGCATCAGGTATGATTTACAGAGATAAGGCAGCAGATCTTGCTTCATAAAGCTTCACTTCTAACTGGCTCACAGCTTTCCTCCCTTAGGGTATAAGGGAAATTTTCTCTTACTTTACAATTACTTGCACCATCATTTTTCTGATCTCCCTCCCTTCCTCCCCACACCTCTTGCAAAGAAAGGTCCTCATACTGTAAACTTAAACAAGAACAAAAGAAGCATAACCAATATTGCTACTGTTTGTTGTTGCTAATTACATAAGAAAATCAACAGAAGATATTTTCCCATGTTCATTTTATTGCTTTTTTTGTGTTGCAATTTAGAATATTTAGCTTCTTTTAACCAATTGCATACATTTTGGGAACATTCACAAATTGTCAAAGTTTTGAATAAATTTCATCTATAGTGACATTACTAGGTCAAAAAAAATGTTTAGGTGTCTGAGAGACTGAGGAGACTGTTTTTCACTTGATTCAAATTTTGTTTCCAGGTGTTTAGAGTGTCATACAATTGCTGCCATTGCTGCTTTCCAAAAGTCCGATGTGTGCTGTGACTAGAGGAGTAAAACAAAATTGGAAGATGATTACCAGATGTCATGCTCACCTAATAATTCTTTTATAGCATTACTTTACTCTCACAAGTGAATAGAAAAAATTTTATTTTCTCTATATAAAGGGCTGCACTTTACCAGTTAGAGAACTCTGTAGCCTTCCCAAATATTTAAAGCAACAACAGTCATTAGTATTCTTGTCACTATTAGGTCATTAAATGAAATGTGCTGGAAAATAGGACTCTTTCATTAAATAAGTTAATCACATTCAGTGTGAGCTTTAATAAAATTATGATAAATAGCAACTATTTAACTACCAGCAACCGATAGGAACAATACCTTGCTTCTAGTTAAAATATTCTACAAATGTAAGTGAAATAATTAGAACACACTAAGTTCTGCAAAATGCTATGAAGAATTAAGTCTTACCTGACAACTACTTTCCTCTGTGTCTGATCTATTTTGCAGTATACCATCTTTGTCTTTACAGCTGCAAAAAAGCAATGCTGTTTTGAGCAATATTTGAGATAGTGCAAAGGTATTAAACTGCATAAAAACTCTTCAAAATTAGATCAATACAAACATAAAAACACAGCAGTTCACTTAATACTGTTTTGCTGTTGGTTTTAACAGCCTAGTAGGCAGAAAAGCAAAATGATGTAGCAAGATGAAGGTCATGCACGAATCCTACTGTTTGGTGCCAATCTATTAAAGCAATATCCTGTACAGTTTTTATTAACTTCTCTCCCCTACAAACACATCCTGTTTTGATGACAGCAAACAAAACCAGATGACAAATTAAACCTGCAAACAATTTATTAGTTCTATAAAGAATTACATGAAATACAGTTCCTGTCACTGAAAAGAAAAACGCTGTTTAAAAGATAAGAGTTAGGCATGTCTTTAAGCATGCAGTTTTGCAGCTATATCTTGTAACTAACAGAGAAATTAAAAGTGAGGTTTTTTCTGAATATTTAACATTAGCTTAGAAGACTATAAAAGGTATTGTTCATTAGCATTGTGTAAAGTATGGTACTACAGTTCTTACCGTCAATAACAAACGCTTCTACATCATCAGCTCCAATCTGAAGTTCCTGTTGCATTGTGTCAAATGATATTTCTTTATTCTCTACAGCCATTCCCATGAAAGTAAGTAGCCTCATTTTTGCCATATTGTGTTCGTGCAACAAGCCTGTGTAAAAGTGTTGATAGTTTATGGATATGAATTATAATTCAATAATTCATGGATTTGTTTTTCATTATATGCTTATTTTTACTATATATGCTTCAAATAATTTAAAATTTATTTCACATCAAGAAAATATTCCACCTGTCCTTATCAACATTTTTTTGAGGTAAAACATTAATTCCTGTATCTTCCTGGTGTTTTGCTAAAATAGCTAGTTTAGTTGTGAATTCAAGATTCAGTCATTGTCAGTAAAAGGTAATAAATATCTACAAAAATAAAGCACAGAGATTTTTTTGAAACAGTAAAAATGTCACCTTAACAGAATTTTAGGTGCTGAGCGTGAAAGTGAATTTTTCAGTTGCATCATCTGGAAGAACAGCAACACAACAACAAATGGAAAATACATGACTGGTAATGTCAAAACCTTCTTACAGCCTCACTGTTCATTCTCATGTAGCTGCTTGAAAATAAACCTCTCTCAATAATGGTTTAGCAACATAACATTTTTGTGCCAGAAGAATGTGTTTTGGCACCGAACTAGCTGTTTATACCACAGCAAAAAAGCATCATGAGTCACATGTATGCTTACAGCATGTAGCGTGGCAAAAAGTGCTCTTCAAGAATAGAGGAACAGATCTTAAAAGTTAGGTTAGATCTTTTACATGATTGTATGAATGGCAACATGAGGAATTGAGCCAAGGGCTTGCACATCTAAATCAGAGACCGTTTTCCTGGAAAAAAGTCAAGGTCAACAAAGTTAAGACATTCAGATGAACCAAGGCATTTCTTAATCCAAGCTCTGAGAGGCACCAACTAAGATTCAGCGGACGTTTCTTTAAAAAAAAGTCAATCATTTTGTTTTGGAATGACATTATAAATATTCACATTGCTTCAGTAAATATTTAAGTTTGGAATTTATAACATCCATACACTAATAGGAAAGCACATTAGTGCAGGGCATCATGTTGTGTTAATTAGCTATAATTATGATGCAGGTTCCCTATTTGGCACTGATTCAACAAAAATGTGATCACCATAATTCATACGAATGAGGAGCACCAGCAACTCTACCTAACTGGGTTTAATGGAACTCTACAAGCATCAAAAAATCAATTAGCACACATTAACCCTAATTAACAAATGCAAATGAGATGCTGATTAACTTTCCGAAAAAGACGGTTGATAATACCAGATTAAATGTGGACATGTTAGGGCGATTCAGTTGACACAGATAATGCTACTGCTGGCCTAAGTTGTCAGCATTAATAAAACAACAAATTGTAACAAACTGATGCCACCTGTAGGAGCCTTCACTGCATAGCTTTCATAGACCGATTTTAATTGGTCCTGATCCAGGAAAGGTTAGAACTAAAGCTGATGCTGTACTGTCACTGAAATCCTAATATTAATATCCTTTATTTTAAAGCCCAATATCTTGGCAAATTATTTTTAAAAAAATAAATCTTTAAAGCATAATTAAAAATCTATTTGTTTTTGGGAACAGATCATAGGTGTTCTGAAGAATTTTGGAATGCCTCATCTAACAATTTTATTGTTTTCTATACATACCAAACCGCCCTTGTTTTTCAAAGGCATGGCTGAAACACTCAGACCAAGTTCTTAGCATTCCGGTCTGCACTGCCTCTGAATCTCTACCTTGTCCGCTGCTCAAAGACATTCAGAATTTTCTGAGTACACCATAAACCAGGTGAGAAATCAAGATGGAAGTAAGGCTGTCTCAAAACAGTTACACAGGTATTTAAGGATTTTACTAAGATTATGTGAATCCTAGATCCATGGAAAATGCACACATTGTATACTCACAGAGGTAAACACAGATACAGGGAGGCAAAGCAAAAGAAATCATGACTATTGTATATTATACGATTAATACTACGTATATGTGTAATTAATCTTCCATAAATTTACTGAAATGTTAGCATAACAGCATTTCCAGCAAATACTTCTGTGGACAAAAAACTAACAGATAAGCCATTTCAATACATAAAAATAATTACAATACAAAAACCACTTTCCCCTAAGAAAGAAAAGCCTAAAGATGTCTACACAACTAATGTTCAAATACATATGACAAAAGGTATGCTGATCCTATCTACACAAACTACCAAAAACTTGCTGCTAATTTTATCCACAAAAAATCACATTGATATTTCCATCATTTTAATACCCAAAGTACCAGCATTTTAAAGCTTTGAGGGTAATTATTCTCAGAATTATACCACAGTCCATTAAACAAAATAATGCATGTGTTAAAAGGCTGCACTAAACTCTGTTTTAGCAAAACTATGCCTTTCCTCAAATGCGTTCAGCCCGTGTTCAAGTGTCATTTCAAAATCAAAGTTATAAAAAAAAAATAATCTGATTTTTATGGAAACATTTATTCATTACCAATATGTCAAAACCTTAATGCAGTAATAAAAAAATCTGCATCATTGAGCAATTTCTGCATCGTCACTGACCCCTGTCCTAAAAAGCTGGAATATAAAAAACGTAATTTTAATGCATGCAATAGCTTATGAACCAGTGCTCCTTTGAAACAGTCAATTACACATCGACGGGGGAGTGTCAAAGTGTTAATTACTACTCCTTTTTTCCACAGTGTGTAAATAAAGAGGGTGCTGACATTAACATTCCATCACATTGCTTCATGTGATGAAACAAATTAACTGGGACAGACTGTGGCTTGCTAGGTCTAATGCATCAGCACACGCAGACACACACACGCGCGCTATTTGCATGTTTTATCTTACTGTTCAGGAGAAGTATTTCTGTTATAAAGTTATTAATCCTAAAAAAAATTGTAAGGGATTTATACAAGCTGCTGACTTAATAGTTGTAATCTCTGCCCTAGCCTAGAGTACCAATGCATTAAAACTCCCCTCCCAAAAGGTTTAAGAGAAAAGAAGTGGAGAAAAACACAGTTCTCTTCCAAACCCATAAATCAGCTTGTCCTAGTAGAACAAACCACAGTTAGATGGTCCATTTACGATCTAGTAGAGGTTAGAGTCTACAAACTCTAATCCATTCTTAAAAATTCCTATTAAATTTCCTTGGCTTCAATATATGGGTTCAAACTGAAGCACTTTGCGGCTTCCGTATCTTAAGCCACGTGAATAGTCAGAAATGTAATGATCTGAAAACTTACCAAGGGAGTCAATGAAGTCTTTGTTGTTCTGATAAAACTTGACATAGGATGCTAGTTTAGCACTTACAAAAATTGTCAAAAGCTAGAAGATGGAAAACAAATATAAGAACAGTTTAAACATTATCTACATTTCTCTCCCTGCAGACTGGACAGATATATATATATGAAAATATTGGTATCGAACAGAAAAATAAACTGTTAAGAGCTAAAATTCTGTCTTCTGTCAATGGCTGAGGGCAATCTGTGCTGAGCTTACTGCCTTTTCTCAGACTTGAAAGGCAGTTTTGCTACAGAACTCATGTGAGGGCAGGATTTGTAACTCTGAGTTTCTGAAACTTCTAAAGGGAAACATTTCACATGTAATGTTTTAATTTTTTTAATTCTAAAAGCATTAAAAGAAATAGTACATTGCAGCTCAATATTACTGACATAGATAACCATTCTAATGAATTTCAAAAGATTAATAAAACAAGGCACTCCACAGATATCAAACCATCTTGCTAAAAACAGTTACTTACATCATGAATAAGTTCTCCTTCCAAAAATTTGACTGGTTTTAAGGCAAGAAGATGATCAAAGAGAAAGGTATTTGGATCCTTCAACGCGCGTACAATACATCTAATTAGAAAAAGGAAATGCTTATTTTTACAGCAATACACATTTTTATGAGTAAGTGCAATTCGATTTGTTGTTCTTTGCTTTCTAGGAAACACCCAAGGGTTTTCAACTATTCTTAAATGTAAGACATGTCACATTCCAATTTTCATCTTCATTTTACAGATGGAAAAAACAAGGAACAGAAAGCATTAAGTAATTTGCCCAGTATCACAAATGAAATTTGCCAGGTGGTGAGACTACAGATCACCCTACTGTTTCCATCTATGCATTTATTTCCAGCCAAACCTTCATTCCTAGAGGTATTTTTACCGTCCTCCTAAAATATCATAGAATTAAGTTGTTTAGGAAGATTAATTATACTTGAATACGTGACACAAAACAGAGAAAACCCCAGTACCAAACACTGCAAGACCTATGATTTATCAGTTGCAGCTCCAGACTATAAACAGACCTCAAGTGTTTCTAGAACTCTAGATGAAAGCTTTTGCTCAGCGGCACATTAGAAGACTCAGTGCTACGCTCGCTCTGATGGCCTGGACCGCGACCCTGCCACCTAACGTACACCCAGAAGAACCCAAGGTCTGCGTAGATGCAGCAACATGATAAACCCCAGACAGACGTGTTCTTTCAGATGTAAAAGGCCTCAGATTGCTGTAGGGTAGTCAATGAAGTTTGCATTCATACACAGACACTTTAATTTTCAAAATGAGTCATCCTGATTTTCCCGCATGCTCAAGTATGAACAACTCCCTTGAGAACTGTTGGTTGTACACACCCGGCAGAACTACACGACTTACTACAAATCTAATTCCTAAGAAGAATCATGATAGGTAGAATGTCAAAATACAAGCTTTTATTCATTTCGGCCAGTGGGGAAAATACACGTTTACTCCCAGCTTGTCCAACAAGTAAGTTTATTTCTGTGCAGTTCACATCCTTAGTACTTGCTCATAGAAAAGTGAGCAAGAATTTCTTTTCAACAGAAAGTGCTATTTGAAAAGAACACTCGAAGTTAGAGAATCAAAAAAATCAGTAAGTAAAAAATGTGAAATAAAGGATGCCAATTCAAATTTTGATTGCACAGTTGATGTAAAAGACATCCTTACCCAAGGCTGACCTCTCTCTCAGCAGTGACCAGAAATACAACTGTGCACTCGCACACTGGAGTAAACCCAACTATGCCTAGAAGCAACCAGCCCTACCGCAGACTGCACGGATGAACTCTTGATCAAGTCAGCCATGCTATGGAAAAGAGGCTGCAGCAGGGCCCTCGCCTGCCAGGCCATTCGGTACTCTTAATAGTAAGGCGATCAACATAATTTAGCAATGGAGAAAAAGCTACTTTCAAGAAAACTGGGAAGTCAGTATTACCTGTGAGCATCGACTCTAGCCTGGGAAGCATTGTCCTCTGTGTAACTTCCCAGTAGTTCCACCATTACTTTTGCTGCAGTGTCACTATAGAAGAAAAATAAAGTTACCTCAGGATTGCTGAAAAAATAGTTCAAACAAGACACTCAAATACTTAAATAATTCCATTATGATGTTATAGGTCAAATTAAATTACACTTGAAAAGATGTAGATGATCCATTTTAATTCTAGTGGAGAGAACAAATTAACTAGATGTATTCTTTCAATTCTTGTTCTACAAAATGTTTATCTTCACCCTTCATTTCATTCTCTTAAATTGATAAATTACCTACTGGTTATGGAAAAAGCTTTCTGAGCTAGGAACAGCTTTATATGGTTCACTAGAACACTCCTCTTACGCACATCTGGATTTAATCATTGCAGAATAAGTAGCACTGCAAAGTTTATTTCAAACGTAAAATGGCACATCTTAAAGAATATTTATGGTCAGGAAAGTGACTGCATAAAAGCTGCCTCTTCTTTTTTCACAGATTCTCTCTTCAAGTATTCAGAGTGAGAGCTGCTCATTTTACTGACAAAGTTAAGCAGCCAGCAATTAGATTGGCTTAGGCTGCTGTGAAGCAAGCAGCTTCCCACACTGGTTTGACAGACAGCTTTTAGAAAAACAATTCAATCTAAGAAAATTGAGTAAACCTATGGCCCAGTCTACCCAGATTATTTTGTAAACAACAGCTCATCAATGTTACTGCAGACCAGCTGCGAGACCGTTACTTTGTCATTTTAACAGATTTAGATTTATTTTCACATAACAGTTCTTACCACTAGCGAGGCCAGCAACTGCTGATGCTTTTTACAAAATTTTCAGCAAAAGATATATGCACTGAATACTGTGTGTGTGTATACGCACAAAAATCCATTTCCCCTGGAATTCTTGTTAACTATTAAAATAGAAGGCTGTGACAGTTCTTCCATACAGAGAATAGATTTTGTTGATGCCATCTTACTACTTCCTTTGGACAGGACAGGGTATGGGTGTAGGTACAACCAAACCTCGATAAGGAGAACACAACCGAACCTCAATAATGAGAGCATGTGCTTTACAGAAATCTCCCATGCACATACACAGACTGGCGACTACTTTACTGAAAGGTACTTTCGCAGAGGCCAGGAGGAAGGTTGGATACTACTCCCCAGAGTACAGCAAGTTATAGTGTAAAGCTAAGCTCCTCCTTCAAAGTAGCTCAATTCCAGGTACAACAAATTTCCCCATGTGGTCTGACAGACCTACAAAATCTCCTTAAAAGAAAAAAGCAGCACAGGTCTGAAAGGTTTTTATAGTACAGGGACACTATCTTTATGTGGGTATTTATTTTAAATCTCACAATACTACTATTTGACAACTTCTCTAGGAGCACAAGACCTCACCCTACAGCGAATTTACCAGATCCCATAGATGTGCAGTACCAATATGAAGACATCGTGGGAAGCAAGCAACTTCATATATAATCTGGATGTATACTGAGTGAGGAGAGTTTGTGCTCAAGGCAGGGGAATTTTCTGTAGGTCCCAGCCATTATTCCAGAACTGTGTTCAGGGACGTAAACTTTGAATGAAACATTTGTTTTAAGACTCAAGCATTAAAGAGGTCAGCTTACATTTTGTCATAGCAACTGATTCTGGGGCGTAGAGGAACTGATAGCTCTGTATCAGTGAAATAAAATTAATTTAGACAGCTTTATATATGAGAGAACTATTTGCATGTAAATCAGTCTATGACAGATTATGATCTTTGCACTGGTGAAATGTTATCAACACTAGATGTTCTAGTGAAGACAAAGAACCAGTTTAATACAGGACTGATACTATATAGACATTCAAAGAGGCTCAGCTGATGTGCTGTTCAACCTAACAATACAAGTCCCCTTATTTAATATAAACTTTCAGTAGTTGTTCTTATACACTTCAGAACTGTGTTACCGATTTCTGGAACTCTTCCTCTTCTACCCATTCCCTTAGGAGCAAAAATTGAAAACTATGCATTTAACTAATTTCAAACAGTATTTGCAATCCCACCCCCTCCCCCATTTTTTTTTGAAGGGGGGAAGGAGTGGAATCTTTCATTTGTATTTCTAGGAAACATCAGAATGCTACAAGACAATTCCTCGCAAACTTTCTGTGCTAAATCCTTGCGAGTCTCAGCAAATATGGCAGGCCTTTTAATCTTATTCACTCTATTCAGTGTCAGATTACTACCGTAAATTAGGATGTATAAAGCAGTAATATCACTATTATTATATATTATCACAGACCATTATTTTATCAAAGCTCATTGCTAAATGCGTATCTCACCTAAGATGCAAATATGAACATTTTTTCTAGCAAGACAGCTTGCACAAGTACTCTTGGCTCCACCTGCCAGTCTAGATGTGTAACTTGACAAAAAGCCAGTGAGAATTGAAGAGGGATGGCAGATAAAAGGAAGAAAAAAAAAATACAGAGTATTCAGAGACTTAGTAAGATGTTGGAATCAAGTCCTTCTACATTACATGATATTAAATGGAATTAAAATTAAATGAAACAATTATTTTGTAGGTGCCTGACATGCTGAGCTTTTTGCTACAGGTATTAATAACCAGACCTGCCAGACCTGTTTGAATGTAAACCTGGGCAGGACTAATCCCACTCTGAATCCTGCCAGGTCAATGGCAGAGACCAGCTGTAAGCTGGCACCTGGTGTGATATTCAGGGTCTCACAGCAGAACTCAACCCTCTGGCTGCACACAAGCCATGCATGCCTGTAAAACTCCATCTATAACTGGAAAAGAAAACAGGTTGTGTTACCTTGCAGTTTCACACCAACACAGCTAGGAAAATGCTGCTAAAGCAGCTGAGGCACAGAACTCTACTGCAGAACCTTTATGGCAAGGAGCATAAGCAGCAGAGAAAGTAACTAATCTCTTGCAAAGTTCAGCTACCAAATACAGATCTCAGAAACAAACCACACCAGCCATCTGTTTTCCAGCCACCACCACCAATTTTTCTTCAGTTGATCATGGCAAAGATAAAAGTCCCTCTTTGAAGAGATCAAGATGATTTTGATCATCAGAAAGAAGAAACTTCAACCAGAAAGTGACTGGAAAAGATCTGATAAAACAAGCTTTCACTTGTCACTGCAGGAAAAGGAACACACCACACAGAACATCTGCACAATCTACTTTTCATGAGCTACCAATCTGTTCACTACCAAGTTATCCATTGGGGAAAAGTCTATTAGCTATGGAAAACCATCTCTTCTACCGCACTGAGTGAAGTTAAAACATAAAATGAACCAAAAAATATTAAACTCAATTGTTTTCAACAACGTATTCTATTCCCTTGATTATAAAACAACATGGTAACTGAGGTATGATTTTTATTACTTATTTTTCAGTTCCCACTTATCTTCCCATACTGCTTGATAGAGCAACATTCCTGAGTGCTAAAGCTGGAATGCTGCTGTGAGTTTCCCATACTATTGCAAATACTGCCCACTGATCCAGGAAAGTGAACCAGGTCAAAGGTGCTAGGGTCACTTCTTGTTTTCTTTTCTGGAGAGAAGTGTAAGTGCTCTGAAAAATTGCTCCATTCAGTGCGAAGCTTGCTGCAACAGATGGTAAGGACACTGAGTGCAGGAGTAATATATTACAGGGTTTGTGGAAGTTTTTAATGCCTGTCTTAAAAATATCACCTATTATTAGTAAGCAAAAACCATTTGGCAGCAAGGTTACTGGTAGCACTGGAAACAAAAATTAGAAGTTTAATCCACAGATTTGATAACAAGACTAGCTAAAAATAGTTAGCTATTAAGTATGGGAATTAAGCTAGTTAAAGCCTCTCAATAAATCAATAGGATGAGAAGTGTTTAAAAGAGTAGGAGCATTACAGACCATCAGCGTAATATTTCTGAAACAAAGTAAGCACTAAGCCACGTGTAAGATCTCCGATGAACATTTCTGAAATTGTTTTGACCATCTGAAGTCTGTCATACAGTACTATCAATGCAAAAGCATTTTAGTGTTAGTAACAGGAATAGGACTTCCCAATCATGTTGTAGCTCACAGTGTAACTACTCCACAAGCATTAATCATCCCTAAATTGAGGTTAGTTAAAAATGATCCTGCTACGCTGACGCAGCATTTCCAGGCTACAATTTCACCAGGCCAGAATAAGCTAACTCTCCTGCCAGAAGAAACTCTCCTCCTCCTGTGACAGCTCCACACTTGCCTTTTTTTTTTTCGCCTGGCAAGGTCACCTCCCCAGTCCAATCCACCGTGCAGCTGCACAAATGCCTACACCAGCACAAATACACCCAGGTACTGGTAACTGGAGGAGACGGGACAGGAATGTGGGGTACAGGACAGAACTGCTTCCTTCTGCAGCAGTACAAGGTTATGCAAATGTAGAAAATGCCAAATGCAGTTCTTCTACCAGTGGAAGTCAGCAGCGTAGAGGTCCTGATGCTGCCTCACTATGAAAATTAAAAAAAAACCTTAGAAAACTAATTCAGAAAACAGAGTGAAAGGGAAGGGCGGGGGGAAGCACCACACGCGCACCACACACATATCCCAAACTACAGCAGGGACAGTTGAGATAGGCTGAAACTGTTGTGGAACTACATGCTGAAACTACTCCTGGACACCAGCCCACCTCAATAGCCCTGGCCAATGCAGCCAATACACCATATCACATCTGCAAGATAAATTGACGACAGCTCTCAGTTAAGACTTACATTAATTCACAGGCACGATACGCACAGGATTACTTTACATGCCAGAAGACACTGGTCTGCCAGGTTTGTTAGATCAGAGATGCTTCTTATGATCCAGGATAATAATTTAAAATAGCCAAGCAGGTATTCTGTGGACATTAATTTCCATGACTAGTGGAAAGCTCTGTCCTAAAGGTAATGTTTACACAAAAAGACTGATTCTGTTAACTGTGATTGATAAGCCTCCCAACATCATTAAATAAGAGATAGCACTACCATGCACTACAATGTCAAAAGTGCAATTAAATAATAAAATTGGCATAATGCTACAATGCTCAAAGATTAATATTTACAGAAAGGAATAGTTTTATTTTGGGAGTCTGTGGTTTGCAGTTAATTCACTACTAACTTTAAGATTCTTGGAAACACTGGTTTTATGTAAGAGTGCTTAGAAACATAGCAAGAAAAAAAAACAGTTATCTTTGGATTGAATTATCAGTACAGATTAATTTTAAAAGTGCAGTG